GAGCCCGGAGCAGAAGGACGCGTCCGCGGGGCGGGCACAGCACCGGCACGGGGGCAGAGAGCGAGCCCGAAGTCCTGCTCTTACGAACTTCGTGAGCGGTCTCCCTGGAGATTCCCAGACGCGCCAAACTGGGACGGTGTTTAGTAACCACCTCGCTCTGCAGCGCGCTCTAGGCTCTGCCTTGGGCTTGGGTGCAGCCTTTCCAGCCTCTTCGCGCTGGACGGGGGAGCCCCGGAGGCGGAAGTGCAGGGCCCTGGCTAACCTGGCGCCTCCTCTACGCCAGCTCTGACCCAGACCCTCCTCCCTGACCTGGCTCCTCACCCTCATCTCTCCCGGGGCTCCAGGCCGCCCGAAGCCCTTTGGCATGAAGGCCTGCATCCTCGTGGCCTCGGAACAGCCTGGCCTGTCTGCCCTGCCCCTGGCGGCTTTGCTGGGTTCTGTGGGCTGGCTTCACTGTTTAAACTTGGCGTCTGTCGCTGTCCCTCTAGGTCTGCCCCGGCCCAGGTTCTCATCCAGGTACCAGCCCCTAGAGGCCTGAGCTCCGGAGTCCAGGCCCCCTGCGTGTCGGCCGGGGCAGGGACTCTCAGCACGGGATGTCCCCAGACTCCAGAGGGTCGGGTCACAGGAACAGTGGGAGGCAGCTGCACACTGCTTTCACATCCTGCCCCTCCCAAGGGGCCCTGGACACCCGGCTGGACTGCAGGTGAGGAAAGGGCTGGCCGAGAAGCCTGGTTCTCCTGAGCCAGCACAGAGCAGGTGCCAAGTACGCTCGCTGTGACCGGCGAGGCAGAGACGGCCCGAGTCACCCAGTCCCCGCCGAGAAGGAGGTGTGAGCTCTGCAGCGCAGTTGAGGGGCTCTGTGCAGATGGGGGAGCAGGCAGCAACAGATGGGGCTTTGCTTGGGGTTGGGGGGCTGCCCTGGCTCGGGACAGGGCTCACCCCGGCCCTAGCGTCTGTTCCTGCCCTACTCCGGGCTCTAAGGGCTGCTGAGTTGTGCAGTGCCTGTGTGCCTGGGCCTGGGCCCGCCCACTCTGCCTGAGCTCACAGAGGCCGAGCCTGGCACACCGCCGCCTGGAAGGGACAATCCTGAGAGTAAGGGCAGCCCCCGGAGGCGGAGCAGAGGTGCTGAGGACCCACGGGGACGCTGTGGTCTTTCCTAAATGCTTGCTGTTGGCAGACTGTGTCTGAAGGGCCACATCCCTGGGGAGAACTTGGAAACACCTGCCCGCTTGGCTGGGGCTGAAGAGGGGCACGGAGGGGCGGTTGTGTCCCCACAGGTCACCAGCAGGGGGCGCAGCTGCTGGCCAAGCCGCTGAGTGACCCTCCGTGGGCTCCGGACGCGGTGCAGCAGCCCAGCCTGGGCCGCGGGTAGCCGGTGTTTGGCGCGACAGTCCTGCCGTGGGCCATTCCTGGGCACTTCCAGGTAGCAGGCCAGGCGAGAGAGAGGGAGACAGGTGGAAGAGGCCTGCCAGGCAGAAGTAATCCTCAGAGAAAGCGATACAGCTGAGGCCATTTAGTCTACGAACTTGGGAAACCTTTGTGTGGACCCCACCAGGGCTGGGCTCTGGTTCAGGCCTGCATCGTCGTGAATGTAAGTCACCTTGGATGTGACTTGGCTTCCCTGTGCCTCAGTTTCTCTGCAAGCCAGGCATGAGGTTGGTTCCCGTGTCACAGGATAGGATTGTTCCGAAATTTCTCAGAAAGGCTGCAGGCGCCAGCGTCCCCAGGGCCCATCACCTGGAATTAGACTTTAAGGACAGCTTGGCCTGGGCAAGCTCGGGAGGACAAGCAGGGGCGTGGGGTGGCCGGTGGGGTGGGAACGCAGCCTGCAAGCCTGGTTGCTGCCCTGGACCTGCTGTTGTTGAGGGACACAGAAAGTAGCCTTGGTTGCTGCTGTCAGGAGCCGGGTTTCTGCCCCTTGGGAGGACACTGTGGCTAACGAAGCCTCAGAGAGAAGAGGGTTCCCCATGGCCAGAAGGACTCAGGCAGGGCTCAGGTGACACTTCGGAAAGTGACAGAGGGGACACCAGCCTGGGACTAGCGAAGTTGTGATTGCACCAAGGAATCTACTTGTTCTCACCAGTTGCTGTGCTTTAAGACAGAATTTCCAAACTTTAGAAGAGAATCAAGAAATTTAAAACTGATTCTGGTCTCCTTATGTATGAGACACAGACATTGAATACATTTTGGGATCATTGTTTCTACTGTTTTTCTTTTTGCTTTGGTTTGTTTTGGTTTTTTGAGACAGGGTCTCACTATGTAGTTGAGACTGAGGTGGAACTCACTGTGTAGCCCAGGCTGGTCTCGAACTCACAGCGATCCTCCTGCCTCAGCCTCCCGAGTTCTGGGATTACAGGAGTGTGCCACCACATCCAGCTGTTCTGGGTTTTTTTCTACATATATAACAGATGTGTGTGACTATGTTTATGAAAGTGAGAAGGTATTTTACGTGGGGGTCTTCTGGTTACTTAATATCTCGTGGGACGTTTTCCCGTGTTGAGTAGCCTGTGGAGACTGGATTTCTCAATCGCTCCCAAGGCTTCTCAGCTGTCCCCTGGCTGCTGAGCTATTGGGACCCTTGATTGCCTACATTCCCTCCGCTCCCGTTGTTACTTTGTGTCTTTGCTGGGGCTAAAGTGACCTTGGGCTCAGAGGGTCAGGGAAGGTCACCTTGGAGATGGCACCTTGGCTGGGCTTTCTGGGGGGGGGGGCGCCGAGGTGGGAAGGTGTCCCGGGCAGAGGAACAGGGGAGCAGACCCTTTCCCAGAGTCACGGGGAAGGGACAAAGGTGACCTTGGAGCTGGGCAGAGGCCCCAGTGGGACACTGCCGCGTGTGACTTCCAAGCCAGCCCAGCTTCCTAGATGCGCGCCCTGGCAGACCTGGGAGGTTCAGACTGCGTTTCTCCGCTCTAAGGGGACAGACAGCCGTGCTGTGCGCTCTAAAACCGTCCGAGTGATTCTTATGATCCCTGCCTTTGAGGTGCGGCCTGTGAGGCCAGGCTTTCCCCACCTCTCGTGTGTGTGCGTGCGTGTGTGTGTGCGCGTGCGTGTGTGTGGGGGGGGGAGATACAGGGGTGGAGCCCAGGGCCGGTGGGGTGCCCAGCCCCACCCCGAGGACTCGCGTTTGCTTCGACTGGATCTTGTTTTGGGGGCCTGCGCTGCTCCTCAACACTTGTGCTTCTTTTTTGGTATAAAAAGGACAGAAAAGATGAAAGTTCATATTAATCCCCCAGAAACAGGCCATGAATCGAGACGCTGACACTCTCAGGGGGTGGGCTGTGCTCATCAGTCCCACAGCGAAGAGACCTAAGCCGCCGGAGCCGACTGTACGGGATCTCCCCGTAAAACTCCTGAATTTTCATGCTCCGAAAAATAAGCTGGGAAGAACCGGGAGCCCTACCGTAGACGTTGCCGGATGAGCCTTGCTCCGCTCTGACGACTCCGGTGTCCAGTGTGGTTGGTTTCCGACACAAGGCCGCCCGTGTCCTCTGCTCGCCCGCTCCTGGCCCAGCGTGAGGAGCTGCTCCGAGGCCTGGGCAGGGTCAGGCAGCAAGTCTGGCACCGTGCAAGGGTAGGGAGGGATCGTCTAAATCCACTCATTACCTGGAGACAGGCCAGCCAGCTTCTCTTGCCTAAAAATAGTTTCTGTTGTGTCACTTCATTTTCCAACCTGAGCCCTGAGTGTATCTAGGCCAGAAGTCTTAGGGTACACGCGGTGTCCTCACCCACCCCTGCTTTCCCGAATACTCCACGAGCAGCCT